ATAAATATCACGTTTAATAAAGTACTATTTTATTTCTAGGAGACCTGAATATTAATTAGATATAGGCTGAAAGACCAAGAAGAAGAAAATACTCTGGGTGTGTCAGCATGAACTGGACGTTGTCAAACAGAGGATGGGTAAAGTCAGACCTCTATGGGTACAAAGAAGAACTGCAGGTCTGCATAACTCATATCAGAATGCATGTCATCATTAGGCAAAGCAGCAATGGGATGGAATAAAACAATCCCTTTTTGCAAATTTCATCTCTAAAAATTGTTATGCTCTTATCCTCAATACTTATGTCTGCCAGACATTTCCATGTTTCTCCTGCAGTGTGATCTATTTTTAAAACAACCTATTCTCCCATCATCTTTTCCTTCTCAGCTACCCTTAAATAATGGCTTTACTGTAGAATAAACTGACACATCCTGACCAATCATGAAACTATTCAAATTTAAAGTGAAAATTTAAAGGCAAGTGAGAAGTGAGTGAGAAGGCAAAATATATGTATCTTCTTTCTATCGTTCTACATTGGTAAACATCAAAGTATGCACTAATAAAATGTGTAGAAACAATTTACATTCAGAAATTGTTAGCAAATTTGACAGTAACAAAGAAACAACAAGAAACTAAACATTACATTAAGTAAAAACTGAAATTGTATCTTATTGTAAAACATACTCAAATAATCTGTTTTATTTACAACTTCAAAAAAGAATTTAGTTTAAAGAACTGTAATTAAATTGAATCATTGTCAGAACAACTTTTTACATTATTTATCTAATAATTAAAACAGGCGTTACTAATCATAGCCTAGATTTTCAAAAAAGCATTCAAACTTCTAGCTCATCTTCAAAAGGACATTTTAGGGACAGCAGAATAAATAAAACATTCAGAATTCTCGGTTCTATTCTCTGCAGGCATAGCTAAACACACCCAAAACGCTCTCTGCTTCTGTAAACCAACGTGATCCCTGGATCTGTGATCCCAAAGCACGTGTAATTTCTCCTCCATTACATTTCTCCGTCAGAGAACAGTCCATGATTTTACTAAACACAAAACAAGTCATCCTCCGGGACCCTGATAAACCCTGCTGCCTCAGCACTGGCTGCCCTTCAGAAGCCTGATTCTAAAAAAAGACGCCTGTGGAGGTGAAACAAAGCTATCAGGCAATGCAGACAAGCCTCAGTAGTCCTCTGCACAGACAGAGCTGCAAAGCCACTACTGAGAACCCCATAAATGCTGTGTATGTGTGTGAAAGCCAGAATAAATCAAGCAGCCAGGTTTTCTCTTTTCTTTTTTGCTGCTTACCCTACAAGGACAGTTCTAGAGTCAGTGGACATTCAGGGCTTAGGACAGATAAATAACGGTATATATACATTTCAGAATGAATGCTGAAACATTATAATAGCATAGTGTAAGTGTTTTCAAGCGAAAAGGCACCAGAACCAGCACTTTTAATCTTGTATTAATCTCTGTATTCATGAATTTAAAAAAAACTAAAATAATAACAATAATAAATAAATTACTAGTAAATTTAAAAAATAATTACAAAAACGGAAAAAACCCACATTGATTTAAACATAAGATTTTTAAGTAAAAATACTAAAATAGAACTTTATTGCAAGATGGACTCAAACTTTTTATTTACAGTTTTGATAAACAATTATTTTCACTCTTTAATAGTTTTGTACATTAACAGCACAGTACACATAACAGTTGGGTTGCTGCAAGATTATTGTTTTATTTAGAAAGTTGTTAAATGAGTGCATCAGGGGGAAAGAAATAGCTGCTTAGTTTGCCTACCTATTGTTACGTCCTCCCCCTTTTGGTCTAGGGGTAAATGGGAACGACAAACAATAAATAGTGGAGAGACTTTGAGGATCTCCAGCTCTCCAGGCCCAGGAATCACAACCAACCACAGATTTGAGTTTGAAAACGGCTTGGGTGCCTTTTAATTTTAACTCAATCAAGGGATTCAAAAAAAGGATAACATTAATACAAAAGTAACAGTAAATACAAACAAAGAAACATTACCTCGGGAGGAGTCTGTAGGCCCGAACAAAAAAAAAACAAAACAAAAAAAACAATACCTCTACCTAAAAGGGGAAAATATTAAATGACCTATACATTAAAGAAAATAAACAAAACAACATATAACTTCCCTCACTCTAACTAACCATTAAACAGGATAAAATTTATTGGTATCCTCCACCAGACCTTACCCACCAGCTTAACTGATTATTAAGCAAATCATCAACTCAGGAACCATTGTGACAACTCAACAAAGAACACAACAAGTGCGATAAGCGCTCATGGGCTAGGAGAGCGAAACAACCTCAAATGCCGCGATGTCTCTCTCCTTCCTCCACGCTCTCTCTGCTATTTTGAACTAGAAGCCAGCAATCACGCACCAATCAGGTTGTGGACAGCGCATTCAGGTGTATGAGCGCAGCTGATCATCACTAGCCTATCAAGCACAGACACACAGGTAGAGAGAGAAAGGGAGAGAAAGAGAGCAAAAATACAAACACCAACAACACTCTTTGTATCAATAATAGAGACAAAAATTAATAAGTCATTAGACATAACACTTTGCAAAGCGAAGCCAACACCATCATTCTGGGCTTACACTAAAAACAATCAGGGTTTACATCCTGAAAGCACATGTTTCATCATCTTTTCCTGCTCCTCGTCTCTCCTTCTCTTTCTTCCTCTCTGTCTCTCAATGAGCCTATGATAAATTCTGTCATGTTTAATCAGTGGCTAAACTCCCAGCGGCTGCTGTTTCTCCACTCACACTCCTGAGAGTGAATTAATTCAGCAAATCAGGTTTTTTATTGTCTTCCCGACACCCTCATTTGTTTGCCTGATGCCACCTGCTTCCCCTTTTATTCCCTCTTTTTCAACATGCTCTAAATATACCGTCTCTCTTCCGTTCATTTACCATACCAGCTCACCACACCCTTTCTGCTCATACTGACTCCGCATGCTCTTTCCCGTTTTCTCTCCCCTCTTGCTTTCTCTCTGTCTCTCTCTCACTCTGTGTGTGGGTGTGGCAAAATGCAGCATTGGCTGGTTTTAAAGAAACAGAGCCGGGTTGCTATGACAACCTGAAGATGAAGGGATAAGAAAAGACACAAAGTGCCAAGATCGCAATGTAAACATTATGGCGCATGTTTGGACAGGAAGTGAGGGAGACAGAGGAGTAAAAGGAACAAAAAAGACACATGCTATTTGATTAACTACTGGTCAATGATTATGCCAATAAATCATATGCTTTAGCTCATAACTGTAGGACATAACTACGAATGGGAAATGGAGCAAAAAATATTCAATATTTTATGGTTTATTTTGCTCTAAACGCACTTCAAGGAGTCAGGGGGACCATAACCCTAACCAAACAGCTATTATTGCCCATTTTATTCTAAATGTTTAAGGCTAAAAACAATAAATATTCTGTGCTAAGATAATAATGCAATAAAGATTATTTTTAAAATGATGCTGCAAACGAATTGTTAAATCAGAGTTACAAATTCATTGATTTGAACTGATTGATGGACAAAGAATTTAAATGTACCATTTGCCAAAACTAACATTTGATTTACAGATGCAATTCTACATTCTTTACTTTAACGTTCTCATTCTTGCAAGTCATGATACAAGGACGAATTGGAAGGAAAATGTTCTAATGACATGGTCTTGAATTTTTTTTATTATTATTATTTCACTGCAAAATAATATATTGTGAATAATAAATCTATCTTGCAGCACAACTGATGTTGAATTGAGTTTCTCTTCATACGAGTGGACCTCTTTGCATTAAGGCACATTACTAAAATGTAAAGCAATTAGCTGAACTGTATCTTAGTAATGTGCTTATGAAATCAATTTAATGCTCTGTACAAGCCAGAGTCAGTGCAGGACTGTAATGAAACCTTTGCTGCTGACACTCTTATTCATACTGCTGGTCAACAAATATCAAATGAACAACCTCTGCTCATATAAGCAAACTATCACAAACACACACATATACCACTCACTCTATAAAGAGCATGACTGTGTCTGCGGTTGTTGTCACAGTGACTCTTGTCCTCAGCAGAACTGGAGCACAGGGTGGGGCTTCGGTGTGATTGACAGTGATGATGTCAGAACTATGAGCTCAGACTGCAAACCATGGGCTCCTGCAGCGCAGAACGGAAAATTACCGGCCCCTCCCCCACTACATGTCCCATCTCTCTCCCTCTCTTTGGATTTTTCCCTCTACCTTTTATCCCATCTCTCCTTCCTCAACACCCCCACTCTCCTCCCTTTCTCTATCCCTCTTTTTCTCTCTCCCATCCCCCTCTCGTTCTCCCACACAGGCAACATGCATCCGCTTTGAAGGAAAATCTCAGCCGGTGCAGAGACAATAATAGAGCTGAATTCTGTTTTGTGTGGTTCTGCTTAACGCAACAAAACACAGCAAAGCACAAACCTGCAGGTGTACTGTAAAACAGCAGAATAGATAACATTAAGATATCTACTGTATATATTACAGTAATATATACAGTAAAATTTATATATATATATATATATATATATATATATATACACACACACACACACACACACACACATATACACATACATACTTCTTTTTACATACATATTCACATACATACCACATGCATTTCACTGATGCAATCCACTACAAAGTGTACAGCAGAGACAAACACAACCGGATTGATCTAAAAGCATAGGGATGATAGAGAGAAAGCATCCAACTGGCCAATAACAATATCAAATCATGCAAAAAAATAAAATACAGGTTTAATTTGCGAATGAGACAGCACTATATATAGGGATATAAGACAGCCCTTCTCCAAATTATAAGCTGTAGAAATTATCTGTATTGCTCCCACCCTGCTGAGAGGCCTCAGCTGCAAGGAGAGACAGTGTGTGGATAGACTGCAGTTAAAATTCTAATCTACTGAACACGGTTTACGAAGTGAATTTAAATGAAAATTCAATTGGGAAATAGATTCTAAAATGATTGAAAGGCACACAAAGAGGTTGAAAAGAAGCACCACCAGTAACGGGTACTACCTGCAGAAAGTAAAAAAAAGCTAAAAAATTGGGAAAAGGCATGTGTTCAGTAAGATAGAAATTTAAGCCCAGTAGTAGCATCCTTTTTTGCCGTTTATGTGCCAGAGATCATCCAAGGGGAGCACAGAAGCCGGGCATGGACTCCTTAACAAACATGACCCAGGCAGCGACAAATCCGCTCCACGTGACAGCCGTCTGACTCATGTTCAGACCTAGAAACAAATGTAGTAATCTCTGCATAATACAAGTGTCCAGAACTGGGGAAAAAAGCAATAAAGAAAAAAATAACAATAAAATAACAGCTGCAAATATGAGGAAAAACCCTTGAAACTGATCTGTATCCACCTTTTTCTTGTCGTAAAAATGGGCGCGGCCATTTGGAAAATATATGGGTATGGCTTCCGGTTTCATCTGCGTCCACTCCGTCCAGCTATTTTTAGCTGAGCAAAACAGTTCGTTTTGCTGCTTGATATTGAAAGTTGGTGTGTCTTATCATATTATTTTAATGTATTATCTTAATTATGAACACACTGGTTTGTAGTGCAAACAGTTTTACCGTTTACTGCACGTTGTTATTCTCCTCGTTATTTACCTATAGCGGTTAATGAACCGGAAGTCTCACCCATAGGCTTACTTCCGCGTTGAAGAAAAAGGTGGATAGTTTGGCCAAACATAAAATTTGGTATTCCATATAGGCATCATAAAAAAATGACTGCTCAATTCAGCACACTGCTGCTGGACAGATTCAAACTATGCTTATCAGTGTGTTTCAGCACCATGGAGAGCTCTCAGTCTCAGGCGAACCTAAAAAGGTCCATGAATCAGCAGAGGTGTCAGGAACTCAATACAAGACTTAAACTATGTAAAAGCACACATAGGAACTTAGGGCCAAATATTATATTTTAACTGGACAAATAGAGGCCCCCTAGAAAGGCTTACCTTTTCTTTATTAGGAAGTGTTTGTGTTCTGGTAAATGTGTCTCCTCCATTAATACTGATTAGTTCTGCATCTGCAGGAGGATATGGTGCAGGGAAAACCACTACGTCACTCTTCAGTGTGTCGGAGCTAAAACACACATCATACTGCTGAGTAGATTTGGAGTAAGACCAGCTCCCGTCAGGGTGAGTAGTGATCATCGGGGCGCTGTACCTGCCCAAACTCCTGTCTGTCCTGTGGCATTTCACAGCCATCAAACTGATGAGACTCAGTAAAAAGATGACGGACACGCACACAATGGCGATCAGCAAATACAGATTTAAATCCGAGAAACTCTCCTCTTTTATCGGCGCGTGTCTGAATGTGGTCTTGTCGTCACCTGCGCTTTCAACAACCACAACATCAATAGACACAGTCGCTGACAGTGAGGGCTCTCCGTTATCACAAACCAAAATGACCAGCGGGTGAGTTTTCAGGTCATTGTCACTCATTCTCCTCTTAGTCCTGATCTCCCCGCTGCTGGTTCCGATTCGGAACAGACTGTTTCCTTTGGGTTCAGAGATGTGGTAAGACAGCAGCGCATTGTAACCAGAATCTGCATCTACAGCCCTGATCTTGGCCACAAAGTAGCCCGCATCAGCAGAATAGGGGATGTTCTCTGTGTTAACAGAACCGAGCTCGGAATAGGGAGCGAGAATCCTGGGACTGTTGTCATTCTCATCCAGGATAAAAACATTGACAGTCACGTTACTGCTGAGCGGAGGAACACCAGAGTCTGTGGCCTGAACTTTATACTCAAACGTTTTTGTCTCCTCATAGTCAAATGACTGTAAACTGTGTATATCCCCACTATCAGGGTTTATACTAACAGCAGAATATGAATTTCCAGATTTATGAAGTGGTTCCAATAATCCATAAGTAATTTTGGAATTTTCATCTAAATCTGGATCAACAGCTGAAATAGTGTAAATGATTTGGCCTTTATGGCCATTTTCTTTTACAAAAATATTTATGACAGGATTTGGGAAACGTGGCGGATTGTCATTAACATCAGATACATATACTGTAAAAACACGAGTGGCAGAAAGAGGCGGAGTCCCTTCATCTGACGCCATGATTGTGACATTATATCGATCAACACGCTCTCTATTCAACGGCCCATCCACTACAAGAGAATAATAGTTTTTATACGACGACTGTAATTTAAAAGGAACATCACCTACCACGTTCCCATGCGTATTCCCATGCTTTCCCGAGTCTTTGTCCGATATCGTTATCAAAGCAACCGTTGTTTCTTTTTTAGCATCCTCCCTTACTATGTTCACTTGTGACATTAATGATATTTCTGGCTCATTGTCGTTTATATCTAAAACCTCTACTAATATTTTACAGTGCGCGGATCGCGGACTCGACCCTTTGTCTTTAGCCTGAGCATGAATCTCGTATGCATTGTGTTGCTCAAAATCCACACTGCCCTGCACTGAAATCACGCCGGTGGAAGAGTCCATTTTAAAAAGGCTATTTGCTTTGTCATCGCTGTCTTGGGGCACTAAAGAATAAATAATTTCACTATTCACACCCTCATCTAAATCACTGGCATTTAGATGTATGACTAATGTTCCCACTGGTGCATTTTCAACAAGTCGCACTTTGTAAAGAGCTTTACCAAACACGGGTGCGTTATCATTCACATCTTGCACATTTATGACTATCTGCATTGTACCTGATTTGGGAGGTTTTCCTCCGTCTACAGCAGTCAGTGTGAGCTGGATCACAAGCTGTTTTTCTCGATCTAAAGCTTTCTGCAGTACTAACTCAGACGACACACTCTGCTCTCCTCCGCTTTGTACATCCAGAGAAAAGTGCTCGTTTGGACTCAGCTTGTAGTTTTTAACCGAGTTCGCGCCAACATCAGGGTCCGAGGCTCTAGGCAACTGAAATCGGTCTCCAACAAAGGACAATTCTGAAATATTAAATTGCTTAGAATTCATACGAAACGACGGAGCATTGTCATTAATGTCTAAAATGTTTATCTCAATGCGAAACAGGTTTAACGGATTATCAACAATGGCTTCTAAATTCACTGAACATTGCGGTGAGGCTGGACAAAATTCCTCCCTGTCGATCCTTTCGCTGACAAACAGAACACCGGTTTTCAAATTAACCTCAAAATAAGTCCTTCCCAAAACTGCGGGGATATGAAATCCGCGTGATTCCAGTTCTTGAACATTCAAATTAAGATCCTTTGCGATATTTCCAACAAACGTCCCCGTGTTCACCTCCTCTGAAATGGAATATGCGATCTGGGCTGAAGCTATTGACAGCAAGCGCAGCAAAACCAGACAAAAAACGGTCCCACCAAGAAGAATTATCCGAGCCATTGCGCATCTATTTAATAAATATTAATAAAACATGTTCCATTCTTAAGCCCATTCCCGCCACTTTGAGAAAAATAATATAATTCTTTAAGTCATAATAATGAGATACTTTCTCATAATTATGACTAAGTTTCTCATTATATTGAGAAACTTTCTCATAATAACGACTTACTATGTCATAGTAATGAGAAACCTTCTCATAATTATGAGTTAATATATTGTAATATTCAGGCTTCCCCTACCTTTGGCTTAAATTATTTACTTAAAGTACCCCCTGTGATTTTAAGTAAATATTTAAATAATTTAATGGCACTTTTTTTATTTTTTGCATGTATGTTTCAAAAACATTAAATTTTTTAACCGTTTGAAAGTTTTCATCAGAATTAGTTTACATATGTATTGTTATTACAGATATAAAATGGCAGGACAATTTCATCACGATTATACTGTTTCCAAAATGATCAGAGCTATCAATAGTATTACTGTATTGTTAAAATGTCCTGGAAATGTTCAAGTACTCATACACACACACACACACACACACACAAATTAATTTGAAAACCAACAGATTTTCAACAAATCAAAAATATTGGTTGGGTAACATACAGCATAACATATCTACTAATATGTAATATGTTATCCGAGCATTATCACCTACATCAGGATCAAAAGCAGATACAGTATGAATAACAGCTCCAATCTGACTGTTCTCTTTCACATAAACATTAATGACGGGCTCTGGAAAGCGCGGCGCGTTGTCATTCACATCAGAAACGTGTACAGTAATGACACTGGTGCTAGAGAGAGGCGGAGTCCCTTCATCAGTAGCTGTGATAGTCACGTTATACTCAGACGCGCGCTCTCTGTCTAAAGGCCCGTTAACAACTAAAGTATAATAATTCTTGTACGACTTCTGGACTTTAAAAGGAGCAGAGCCCTGAATGTTTAATGTTACCAGTCCGTTTTTACCAGCATCACTATCAGTTACAGTTATCATTCCAACCATTGTGTCAATCGGAGCATCTTCTTTAACAGTTCTCACTAAAGACGTCACAGATATCTCTGGTATGTTGTCATTGACATCCTCGACCTCGACCAGCACTTTACAGTGTGCAGCCCTCGGGTTATAACCTCTATCTTTTGCTTGTATTCGGATTTCAATTGCATTACTCTGCTCATAATCAACGTATTTTTGCACAGTAATTTCACCTGTTTCAGGGTTTATCGAAAACGCATTTACATTTTTATCGTTGTCGTGGTTGACAACTGCATAAATTATATCACCGTTTACGCCCTCGTCTAAATCAACAGCTTGAACAGTTATAACGTGAGTACCGCGGAAATGGCGCAGGGAACACCACCACGTCACTCTTCAGTGTGTCCGAGTTAAAACACACGTCATACTGCTGAGCAGATTTGGAGTAAGACCAGCTCCCGTCAGGGTGAGTGGTGATCATCGGGGCGCTGTACCTGCCCAAACTGCTGTCTGTCCTGTGGCATTTTACAGCTATCAAACTGATGAGACTCAGGAAAAAGATGACGGACACGCACACAATGGCGATCAGCAAATACAGATTTAAATCCGAGAAACTCTCCTCCTTTATCGGCGCGTGTCTGAATGGAGTCTTGCCGTCACCTGCGCTTTCAACAACCACAACATCAATAGACACAGTCGCTGACAGTGAGGGCTCTCCGTTATCACAAACCAAAATGACCAGCGGGTGAGTTTTCAGGTCATTGTCACTCATTCTCCTCTTAGTCCTGATCTCCCCGCTGCTGGTTCCGATTCGGAACAGATTGTTTCCTTTGGGTTCAGAGATGTGGTAAGACAGCAGCGCATTGTAACCAGAATCTGCATCTACAGCCCTGATCTTGGCCACAAAGTAGCCCGCATCAGCAGAATAGGGGATGTTCTCCGTGTTAACGGAACCGAGCTCGGAATAGGGCGCGAGAATCCCGGGACTGTTGTCATTCTCATCCAGGATAAAAACATTGACAGTCGCGTTACTGCTGAGCGGAGGAACACCAGAGTCTGTGGCCTGAACTTTAAACTCAAACGTTTTTATCTCCTCATAGTTAAACGACTGTAAACTATGTATATCTCCACTGTCAGAGTTTATGTTGATCATGGATGTTACTGGGCCGCTTTTTGAGCTTTCTATTAAACAATATGTTATCCGAGCATTATCACCTACATCAGGATCAAAAGCAGATACAGTATGAATAACAGCTCCAATCTGACTGTTCTCTTTCACATAAACATTAATGACGGGCTCTGGAAAGCGCGGCGCGTTGTCATTCACATCAGAAACGTGTACAGTAATGACACTGGTGCTAGAGAGAGGCGGAGTGCCTTCATCAGTAGCTGTGATAGTCACGTTATACTCAGACGCGCGCTCTCTGTCTAAAGGCCCGTTAACAACTAAAGTATAATAATTCTTGTACGACTTCTGAACTTTAAAAGGAGCAGAGCCCTGAATGTTTAATGTTACCAGTCCGTTTTTACCAGCATCACTATCAGTTACAGTTATCATTCCAACCATTGTGTCAATCGGAGCATCTTCTTTAACAGTTCTCACTAAAGACGTCACAGATATCTCTGGTATGTTGTCATTGACATCCTCGACCTCGACCAGCACTTTACAGTGTGCAGCCCTCGGGTTATAACCTCTATCTTTTGCTTGTATTCGGATTTCAATTGCATTACTCTGCTCATAATCAACGTATTTTTGCACAGTAATTTCACCTGTTTCAGGGTTTATCGAAAACGCATTTACATTTTTATCGTTGTCGTGGTTGACAACTGCATAAATTATATCACCGTTTACGCCCTCGTCTAAATCAACAGCTTGAACAGTTATAACGTGAGTACCAGGCGCCGCATTCTCGTTGATTCGAGCTTTGTACAAAGACTTACTGAAAACAGGAATATTATCGTTAATATCCACAACATTAACAACAATCTGCATTGTACCGGATTTCGGTGGTTTTCCTCCGTCTACAGCGGTCAGTGTGAATTGGATAACAGGCTGTTTCTCTCGATCTAATGCTTTCTGTAGCACCAATTCAGCCGACACACTCCGCTCTCCTCCGCTCTGAACATCCAGAGAAAAATGCTCATTCGGACTCAGTTTGTAGTTCTTTACCGAATTAACTCCAACATCAGCATCAAATGCTCTGTTTAACGGAAACCTCTCCCCCGGAAAAGCTGATTCACTGACATTCAAATGTGTTATTGATGTCCGAAATGCTGGTGCATTGTCATTAATATCAACAACATTTATTTCAAATCGGTAAATATTCAATGGTGAGCTAATCATGGCTTCTAAAGGCAGAGAACATTTAATATTCTGCTCGCAAATCTCTTCTCGGTCAACTCTCTCTCTGACATGGAGAATTCCAGTTTTAGTATTAACATCGAAATACCTCTTGTTCGGTCCCGGAACAATATGAAACCCTCGAACCTCAAGGTCCTGAATATTCAGATTAAAATCCTTCCCCAAATTCCCAACTGTAGTGCCTGTGTTTGCTTCCTCCGACACTGAATACACCAGCTGTCCGCCCGCTATATTCCAAAGCCAACACAGAAAGTACACAGAAATCCAAACCCGAAATCTTGATTGCCCTTTGGATGCCATTGCCTCTAAATCTTCTGAATTTGACAAAATCATAAAATTCCGACAGCATAGTATCTGAGGAAATGTTCAAACGAAACCACGCACTACAGCAGCTTCCAGACACAATGGTGAATTCTGAACAAAGCCTCTCTGCTCCGGAAGCTACAAAATGAGGCGGAGCTTAGTGGAGTCAGGAAAATTCTCGTGTAAAATGAAAGACTAGTGACATCATGCGGACAACTGCAAACTCCACTGTTTCTAGTTGAAATATTTTGATAGGATACATTTTTCGGTTATAGAAGCATACATTTAATATATATTTGATAAAGCCGAGAATGAAGGAAGTGTCCACATTATACCGACTATCTAATCATAATATAAACAATAACAATAATCATACACTTAACAAGCCAATTTAATAACTGAAAAAAAGGGGAGGGGGGGTGGGGGTACAAGAGAGGTTAAGAACACCTGAAACGGACATATATTACTTCTTTTACAGGGGCTGCCAAACTTTTTTTTTTTTTGTCAGCCGAACACCTTTGGCTTAAATTATTTACTTAAAGTAGCCCCTGTGAGTTTAAGTAACTATTTTAATAACGTAATGGTACTTTTTTTTGTCTATTTCAAAAACATTTATTTTTAACCGCTTTTAAGTTTTTATCAGAATTAGTTTACATAGCTATTGTTATTAGAGATATAAAATGGCATGAAAAGTCCATCACGATTATAGTAACCAAAATTATCAGAGTTATCAATAGTATCACTGCATTGTTAAAATGTGCTGAAAATGTTCAAGAAGTACTCATACAGACAGAAATTTAGTTGAAAACCAACAGATTTTCAACAAATAAAAAATATTGGTTTGGTGACTTGCAGCATAGCATGTTATCTGCTAACATGCATCACGTACAAATAAAGTTCTGATAAAAATGTTTTATAAAATGTTAAATCTCACAATTCAGGCTTTAAATCTTTTCTTTTTTTTCAAGAAAAGGATGAGTCAAAATGATACATTATAGGGATTTGATCTGCTTCATAAACAATTCTACATACTCTATTATTATTATTGAAATTTTTAGAGTGCAGACTAGTTTGTATCTTTCAATCTACCAATTAATAGTTACAAATATACATTTGGTCCAAAACAACAGAAGAAAAACAGTAGACAGGCTGAATAAAAGCTTAAATCCACTGTTTGACAGCAGGTGCTTATGGAACAGCAGAAATAGAGCTGAATTCACGGTAAACTCTCTAAACAAAGGACTGCCGCGATCATAACCACTACTTTATTACACATTTCCACCCTATATTTTTAATTTCAAAATTATTTGTTTATTTAAATTTTATTCAAATAATTCTATTTTTATAATGAATAGCTTTTCATCAACTCACGAACCCCCTGAATGTAAAGCAGATAAGAACATTAATGGTACTTTTTTTTGTCTATTTCAAAAACATTTATTTTTAACCGCTTTTAAGTTTTTATCAGAATTAGTTTACATAGCTATTGTTATTAGAGATATAAAATGGCATGAAAAGTCCATCACGATTATAGTAACCAAAATTATCAGAGTTATCAATAGTATCACTGCATTGTTAAAATGTGCTGAAAATGTTCAAGAAGTACTCATACAGACAGAAATTTAGTTGAAAACCAACAGATTTTCAACAAATAAAAAATATTGGTTTGGTGACTTGCAGCATAGCATGTTATCTGCTAACATGCATCACGTACAAATAAAGTTCTGATAAAAATGTTTTATAAAATGTTAAATCTCACAATTCAGGCTTTAAATCTTTTCTTTTTTTTCAAGAAAAGGATGAGTCAAAATGATACATTATAGAGATTTGATCTGCTTCATAAACAATTCTACATACTCTATTATTATTATTGAAATTTTTAGAGTGCAGACTAGTTTGTATCTTTCAATCTACCAATTAATAGTTACAAATATACATTTGGTCCAAAACAACAGAAGAAAAACAGTAGACAGGCTGAATAAACGCTTAAATCCACTGTTTGACAGCAGGTGCTTATGGAACAGCAGAAATAGAGCTGAATTCACGGTAAACTCTCTAAACAAAGGACTGCCGCGATCATAAACACTACTTTATTACACATTTCCACCCTATATTTTTAATTTCAAAATTATTTGTTTATTTAAATTTTATTCAAATAATTCTATTTTTATAATGAATAGCTTTTCATCAACTCACGAACCCCCTGAATGTAAAGCAGATAAGAACATTTGCGTTTTCAGCACCATGGACAGAGTATGTTGGTGCAAAAGAAGATACAACTGCAGTTTAAAAATTTGTGCAACGAGAGTAGATTCATTTAGGGAGAAATAAGGTAAAACTGATTTTTATTTCTCCTCAAACCTGATATAAAATCACCTGAATAAGCAATATAGAGCACGAAAAATTCAAAGTAGAAACAGCAGCTTTAATTAAAGTGCTTTCGTGTAATATAACTCTCTTACCTTTTCTTTATTAGGGGACTGTTGTCATTCTCATCCAGGATAAAAACATTGACAGACACGTTACTGCTGAGCGGAGGAACACCAGAGTCTGTGGCCTGAACTTTAAACTCAAACGTTTTTATCTCCTCATAGTTAAACGACCGTAAACTGCGTATATCTCCACTGTCAGAGTTTATGTTGATCATGGATGTTACTGGGCCGCTTTTCGAGCTTTCTAGTAAATAATATGTTATCCGAGCATTATCACCTACATCAGGATCAAAAGCAGATACAGTATGAATAACAGCTCCAATCTGACTGTTCTCTTTCACATAAACATTAATGACGGGCTCTGGAAAGCGCGGCGCGTTGTCATTCACATCAGAAACGTGTACAGTAATGACACTGGTGCTAGAGAGAGGCGGAGTGCCTTCATCAGTAGCTGTGATAGTCACGTTATACTCAGACGCGCGCTCTCTGTCTAAAGGCCCATTAACAACTAAAGTATAATAATTATTGTATGAGTTCTGAACTTTAAAAGAAGCAGAGCCCTGAATCTTCAAAGTTACCTGTCCATTTTTACCAGCATCACTATCAGTTACAGTTATCATTCCAACCATTGTGTCAATCGGAGCATCTTCTTTTACAGTATTAACTAAAGATGTTACAGAGATTTTTGGAACATTATCGTTAATGTCAACAATTTCCAGTAGCACTTTACAAAGAGCAGGTCTTGGCTTATGCCCTTTGTCTTTTGCCTGCACGCGGAGCTCCACAGCATTTTTTCTTTCGTAATCTACATCACCTTTCACTGTAATCTCGCCAGTTTCCGGATGTATTAAAAATGAATCTACGTGTTTATCGTTATTGTGATTGACTAAAGCATAAACAATCTCACCATTGACACCCTCATCTGGGTCGCTGGCTTGAACTCTAATAATGGAAGTACCAGGTGGTGCGTTTTCATTTACGCGAGCTTTATACAACGATTTACTGAAAACAGGAATATTATCGTTGATGTCTTCTACATTTACAATTATCTGCATTGTTCCTGATCTTGGAGGTTTTCCTCCGTCTACAGCGGTTAGTGTGAGCTCTATCACCGGCTGTTTCTCTCGATCTAAAGCTTTTTGTAGCACCAATTCAGCAGACACACTCGGCTCTCCTCCGCTCTGAACATCGAGAGAAAAGTGTTCATTCGGACTCAGTTTGTAGCTCTTTACCGAATTACTGCCCACATCTGCGTCAAACGGGCTCGGCAGAGCGAACTGCTCCCCTGGAAAAGCTAATTCTGAAATATTTAGGGTTGTCTTTGCCGTAGGAAATATTGGTGAGTTATCATTAATATCAAGTACATTTACCTCAAATCTGTATATATTTAAAGGCGAGTTAACAATTGCTTCTAGAGGTAAAGAACACTTCACATTCTGTTCACATATCTCATCTCGGTCTATTCTGTCCTTAACTAGCAGAATACCAGTCTTCACATTTAAATCGAAATACCTTCGGTTGGTCTCCGACACAATTTGAAATCCACGTCTTTCAATGTCCTGTAAATTCAAGTTAAAATCCTTAGCTAAATTTCCAACTGCCGTGCCTGGGTTTACCTCCTCCGTTATGGAATACACAATCTGCCCATCTGTAAAAATCCCAAAGCGAAGAAAGACACTAAAAAATATCCACACGTTCAAAATATGTCCCTCTGTTAAAGACATTTTACCAGACCATTGCAGTGTATGTTAAATCACCGAAATTCTTCCGCATGACTGTAAAACGTTTTCTGCTAAATCCACGAGTGGACTCCGAGAACAATGGCGTACGACTAACAAAGCCCTTATCCAGGAAGACAGAACAAGAAAAATAGGAGGAGCCTCGTCTTGTCAGGAATGCTCAAACAACAGGCAGATACTGACATCGCGCGGATAAAACTGAACATCACATCAAGAAAGCAAAACATTATTTTTCAACCAACCAAATAGATACTATTTCAGCTGAATGGCAAATTAACAAAAAAATTTAATATCAGCGAAAAATGTACTCAAACAGCACAAAGAGACACAAAAAGCATGGCTTTCAAAATTACGGGCAGGAAGCAAAGCCAAATTAATATAGACGAAAGGGGGCTTTTAAAAAATTGATACATGTGTAAAGACAAAGTTTGCTCTGCAAACCTCTTACATTAAACTGTTTGCATTCAGCTAAATTTATCACCTCGTACGAAAAAAATGCAGATTGATTGATTGATTGATTGTCTGTATTGCATAATTCAATAACATCTTCTGTTCCAAAATAAAAACGCATTACATGTTATACGACAGGACAAATAACTGTTACCTTTGGATGCAAAGTGTTCAGCAGCACGATGAGCTCTAGTTATACCAACAATAAACAATATAGAACAATGCAATGTCCATCATGTCTATCGTGTTTCATCTGCACTCTAAGCTAAAAACTACAATATGTTGTAACAATAAACAAATTATTAAATAGTCAAGACAGCAGAGAGAATGGCAATTATACAGGTACATCTAAAAAAATTTGAATATCATGAAAAAGGTCGATATTTTTTGTCACTCATTTCAGAAAGTGAAACCCATATATTATATAGATTCATTACACATAGAGTGAAATATTTCAAGCCTTTATTTCTTGAAATTTTGATGATTATGGCTTACAGATAATGAAAACCCAAAATTCAGTCTCTCAGAAAATTTGAATATTGTAAAAAAGTTCAATATTGGAAAGTCATGGTGTCACACCCTAATCAGCTTATTACCTCAAAACACCTGCAAAGGTTTCCTGAGTCTTTAAATTGTTTCTCAGTCTGGGTCAGTAGGCTACACAATCATGGGGAAGACTGCTGACTTGACAGATGTCCAGAAGAACTGAAAACAGGAATATTATCGTTGATGTCTTCTACATTTACAATTATCTGCATTGTTCCTGATCTTGGAGGTTTTCCTCCGTCTACAGCGGTTAGTGTGAGCTCTATCACCGGCTGTTTCTCTCGATCTAAAGCTTTTTGTAGCACCAATTCAGCAGACACACTCGGCTCTCCTCCGCTCTGAACATCGAGAGAAAAGTGTTCATTCGGACTCAGTTTGTAGCTCTTTACCGAATTACTGCCCACATCTGCGTCAAACGGGCTCGGCAGAGCGAACTGCTCCCCTGGAAAAGCTAATTCTGAAATATTTAGGGTTGTCTTTGCCGTAGGAAATATTGGTGAGTTATCATTAATATCAAGTACATTTACCTCAAATCTGTATATATTTAAAGGCGAGTTAACAATTGCTTCTAGAGGTAAAGAACACTTCACATTCTGTTCACATATCTCATCTCGGTCTATTCTGTCCTTAACTAGCAGAATACCAGTCTTCACATTTAAATCGAAATACCTTCGGTTGGTCTCCGACACGATTTGAAATCCACGTCTTTCAATGTCCTGTAAATTCAAGTTAAAATCCTTAGCTAAATTTCCAACTGCCGTGCCTGGGTTTACCTCCTCCGTTATGGAATACACAATCTGCCCATCTGTAAAAATCCCAAAGCGAAGAAAGACACTAAAAAATATCCACACGTTCAAAATATGTCCCTCTGTTAAAGACATTTTACCAGACCATTGCAGTGTATGTTAAATCACCGAAATTCTTCCGCATGACTGTAAAACGTTTTCTGCTAAATCCACGAGTGGACTCCGAGAACAATGGCGTACGACTAACAAAGCCCTTATCCAGGAAGACAGAACAAGAAAAATAGGAGGAGCCTCGTCTTGTCAGGAATGCTCAAACAACAGGCAGATACTGACATCGCGCGGATAAAACTGAACATCACATCAAGAAAGCAAAACATTATTTTTCAACCAACCAAATAGATACTATTTCAGCTGAATGGCAAATTAACAAAAAAATTTAATATCAGCGAAAAATGTACTCAAACAGCACAAAGAGACACAAAAAGCATGGCTTTCAAAATTACGGGCAGGAAGCAAAGCCAAATTAATATAGACGAAAGGGGGCTTTTAAAAAATTGATACATGTGTAAAGACAAAGTTTGCTCTGCAAACCTCTTACATTAAACTGTTTGCATTCAGCTAAATTTATCACCTCGTACGAAAAAAATGCAGATTGATTGATTGATTGATTGTCTGTATTGCATAATTCAATAACATCTTCTGTTCCAAAATAAAAACGCATTACATGTTATACGACAGGACAAATAACTGTTACCTTTGGATGCAAAGTGTTCAGCAGCACGATGAGCTCTAGTTATACCAACAATAAACAATATAGAACAATGCAATGTCCATCATGTCTATCGTGTTTCATCTGCACTCTAAGCTAAAAACTACAATATGTTGTAACAATAAACAAATTATTAAATAGTCAAGGAGAATGGCAGAATGGCAATTATACAGGTACATCTAAAAAAATTTGAATATCATGAAAAAGGTCGATATTTTTTGTCACGAAAGTGAAAAAGTGAAACCCATATATTATATAGATTCATTACACATAGAGTGAAATATTTCAAGCCTTTATTTCTTGAAATTTTGATGATTATGGCTTACAGATAATGAAAACCCAAAATTCAGTCTCTCAGAAAATTTGAATATTGTAAAAAAGTTCAATATTGGAAAGTCATGGTGTCACACCCTAATCAGCTTATTACCTCAAAACACCTGCAAAGGTTTCCTGAGTCTTTAAATTGTTTCTCAGTCTGGGTCAGTAGGCTACACAATCATGGGGAAGACTGCTGACTTGACAGATGTCCAGAAGACAGTCATTGACACCCTCCACAAAGAGGGTAAGCCATAAAAATTAATTGCTAAAGAAGCTGGTTGTTCACAGAGTGCTGTATCCAAGCATATTCATAGAAAGTTGAGTGGAAGGAAAAAGTGTGGTAGGAAAAGGTGCACCAGCAAAAGGGATAACCGCAGCCTTGAGAGGATTGTCAGGCAAAATCCATTCAAGAATTTGGGGCAGCTTCACAAGGAGTGGACTGAGGCTGGCGTCAGCGCATCAAGAGCCACTACGCATTCCTCATGTGTCAAGCCACTCCTGAACCAGAGACAATGTCAGAAGCGTCTTACCTGGGCTGTGGAGAAAAAAAACTGGACTGTTGCTAAGTGGTCCAAAGTCGTCTTTTCAAATGAAAGTAAATTTTGCATTTCATTTGGAAATCAAGGTC